ATTTTAAGCAACATAGTTACGTATCCCAGAAACGGTTCATTATTGCTTATACAAAATTCCTTGCATGCCTTTCTTATACCAGAATGCCATACATCCACAGGTATGAGCCCAAAACCCTACAGCATCAAGCCCTAAACACCCAATTCCTGATCCGTAAGCATTGAACCCTAAACGCATAATACGAACAGCGTTGCTGGCTTGCCTCCTAGAGTTTCCCATGACCCTAGTGGTTCCCGAACCCCTAGTGGTTCCCAGCAGATATCTGCAGCCCAAGGCCCTACGTTCTTCGCCCCACATCCAAAACCCCAGGCCTCGAAACACCGAACATCTAGACGACTTTAAAGCCGGACACCTTCAGACCCTAAATCAGAAAGTGTAGGTCCAAAAAGCAACTTGTGCCTGGAGGAACCGGACGTTCAGCTACACAGCCCCACCCGGCGCACCCTGGGCTGCAGCTTGGCAACGCTTTGCCAATTCCATCGCCGCCGCAGGATTTGGCATGTTCATGGGTGGCTAGCAGGGTATGGAGCAGAACATAAACATGGCAACTACTAGATATGATTTTATTGCTTTAGGGAATAGTATGTAAATTGTAAATTATTCCTTTTAGCAGTTAGGGGTGCCTTGTCGGGGATTACCCGCGATCTGTAAACTGGACCAAGCGGGCACAAAGTCGAAGTAAAGGAATGCCAAAGCCCCCAAACGAAGCCGAGCCAGGACTTGCCGCTGGAACCCTACTTGCAGGATCTGAGGGGGTTTGACTTAGTAGGTAAGCTTAAGCCTTGATGATACGTACCATATAACCTCACTGAACCTAATTGCGAACCCACTTAAAAAGCCTCCCTGACGCTTCAAGTACTAGGACTGCCAGTGCGAAAGCTTCACCGGGATTACCTTCAATAATGTAGGCCCCTGCATATCATACCTATATAGGCCCTCAGATTAGCCCTGTGTCGGTTTCATTGTCCATGATTCTCAGCATTTAGGCCCCCTAAACACTTAACAATTGATCAAGCGCACATCCTAATCCTCAAATCCCACACCTTCAATCCTACACCCCAAGAATCCTAGACATTGCTGCCTACATCTAAAATCCTAAGAGGCGATCCCTGAACGAATGTTCTTCAAAGGTTGAAACCATTCCTCCTTGGGACTTGGCTTAGACCTAGGACCCTTAACCCTTTGGGATTCCCTGATACTCCTACTGTGGGTACCTAAGGATGAACCTTCAGTAGGGGTCCTAAGTGCCAGGTAAAACCTTAAACCCTAAACCCCAAATCCTAACCCCTAAACCTTATATAACCCCTATACTTTACTGTGATCTACAGGACCCAAGTTGGAGTTTCCGGCCTGGAGTTTCGAGCACTGCCCCTACGACCCGCGCTACTGTGTGCCTTTTCCAGGCAAGGAGGGTTACGGGATTACGGGGCTTAGGGTTTAAGGGATTTTTGGGGTTAGGGTTTAAGGGATTATGGGGGCTAGGGTGTAAGGATCTCTTGACTTAGTACGTCTACTTAGTAATTTGGGTTACAGGGCTCCTATAATTGGGGGTTGTTACGGATAGTAGGTATATTTACCAAGTCAAACGATTAGCCAAGTAGGGTTTAAGGATCGAGGGTTTAGGGCTTGTAAGTGTCCGAGTTAGGTATTATCCTAAAGCCCCTGTAAGTTACTATTGCAGGTAATGCTGGTGTCGTAATGCACCTGCCTAGTTTCCAGGTCGGTTGTGCCAAAAAAGCGGCCAGAGCAACGTGCAACGTGAAACGACAGGTGCCCCTCCTTCAAATTAGTACGAAACCCCAAAGTGGAGCCCTACTGTAGGGGCCTAAATAAATACCAATATTATGGTTGCATATGCCTTGTATGCTAATGCTATATGGTACCTCAAATTGACATCAAAATAATGCATGTAATTTTTTTAGGCCCCTGTAGTACCTTCGGGAAAGATGTCCCCAAACCCTAAACCTTAAAACACACAGTGTTCGTGGTCAAGCCCAGGGGGATGTTTCTTGAGACCAGGGCTAGTTGCTATGCATTGACACACGCATGGATGATGTGCTAGGGGTTTAGGGATTTAGGGCTTAGGGTTTAGGGATTAGGTTTCAGGGCTATGGGCTTAGGGTTGAGGGTTTGGGGCGGTCATTTTCCAACGTTTCTGAGCAAGGTGGGCGTTCTTGTCGGGGATACGAAGCCAAGAGGTCCTTGTCGAACAGCTGGGTTGCAGTTAAGGAACCTATATTGCGGAAACCCCAGAAATTAGTATATATATATATGTATATATATACGGTATATAATACACCCATCATCGTAATTCAATATAAGTTCCTTAGCAGCAACCCAGACAAGGACCCGGCAACGTACCTCATCGCAACCCCTGTGGGCCATAATCGGGTTTAGATGTTTGGGGTTCAGGGTACCCACTACAGAAGGCATGCTTCGTGTTATGTAGGTAGTTTTTTTTTGTGAGCTGAAACCACTGCTGAAGTATCAGCCTTATCAATCCCGGCCTCAGCCCCCTGTAGTGGCCCCTAAATTCCCTCCACTGCCGCTGAAAAAAACTACTTTGACGGATCCTGGATTTGGCAAAAATACCATATCCCTTAAAGCCTCATGCCAACCCTTTGGTAACCCTTTGCAAGTATGTTCCTAAACCCTCCCTCGACACCATAGCCTACTCCGTAAGCCCCAAGCCCTAAACCCTAAACCTTAAACCCTTACCCCTACGTAAACCCTAGCCTTACACCTGAAACCCCCAACCACAAACAAACAAACCCTAACCCCTACACCCTAGACCACCCTAAACCCTAAACCCTAACCTACATCTTAGACCAACCTAAACCCTAAACCTTACCCTAAGGGTCCAAGGACCCAAATAATAGGGTTTTGGGGTTTTGGGGTTTTGGGGTTCAAATACCATAATATTAATGGTATTTGGGCCCTAAAGCCCTATTATTTGGGTCCTTGGACCCTTAGGGTTAGACCATTCCCCAGGCGTGAGCCTGCAGGAAGGGCTAGACAGCATCTGCATGCCAGAGCTTGACGCATCCTTGGTTTCCCTGCAAAGCTTAAGGTTTAGGGTTTTGGGTTGTGGGTTTTGGGTTTTGGGGTTAGGTTTCAGGGGTGTTTGGGGTTTAGGGGCATGTAGGGGCAGGGCGGGCTGTAGAGGATGTATATGTGGGAGTTTTTGGGAGTTATGGCTTAAAGTAGGTAAGCTTTCGGGCTTCATTTTGGTTCAGAGGGCTGTTGGGATGGCAAAAATCATCGTAGCCTTCACAGATCCCCTACAAGCATGCACCCAAAAAGCACTTCAGTGTTTAGGGTTTAGGGTTCAGGATTTAGGGTTCCGGGTTTAAGGTTTGAGGCCTCGGGTTAAAGGTTTAGGAAATTTGGATCATTAGTGGCAACTGTTGTGCGTGGGAGCTGATCCTAATCCAAAGTGTACAGACTCCTCCCACAAGGTGTCGGAGGTGGGCCAAGCGCTGACGAGTCAACTGGATGCCCTCGCTTCGCTGAACATAACACAGGGAGTTCTCCAGGACCAAATTTTCCCAATTTACTATAATATACCACAATGGGAATATTTAATATTAGGGGGGGGTCGGGGTTTAGTATTAGGGGGAGAGGATTAAGCCTTAGGTCAAGGGTTTGGGCAAGTCCAGGGGAGGGGGATGTTACGAAGGAACTCGGAAGTCGCGGAACTTTAAACCACCTAACCTTGGTTGACGTTAAGGAACTTGAATTAAGTTATCATAAAACAGTAATTACTGGGGTTCCCCAATCTTTAACTTAAAGTAAGTTCCTTAACAGCAACGCAGTAGCATCATGCATAATGTTACTTACTCCGGAACATCAGGCATGGTATTCTGGGGCCACTAACTAGTGGCAACAGTCGTTTTTTCGGTGGTGGGGCGGGTTTCGAAGGAATATTGCAACAGTCACAGCGCACGCAGGGACTACCAGTTTAGGGTTGATGGGGGGGAAGGGTGGATAAGACCTCCGGGAGCTGTCTAACTTCCCAGTCGCCGATGGAGGGGGTGTATAGTCCCCCCCTAAGCAGATAGAATATGGGATATATGGGGATCTCAGTAAAATATACCCGAAGCCATATTCTATCTACTTAAGGGGGACTATAGGTGGATACAACCACAAAACTGTTGCGGTAGACCTTGATTACCCATTGAGCTCTCCAGGATGTACAGCAGTCGGCTGGCTCCCTTCTTGCCACTGGGCTGTAATTTCTGAAGTGCAGCCTCATCTATTTTCACGGAATATCCCACAAGAAATTTAGGGTTGAGAGGGGTTTGCCACAAAGAGGTTTAAGGGTTTAGGGTTTAGGACCCCCAAACACGTACTAGAGTCCTTGTTAAGTGGCCCCGGATTTCTGGACCGCACCCAGGAGGCCCTCAAATCCTACACCCTGAACCGTCCCCACCCAGATTTGGATTTGGTGCGACCTCCTCGCTCATGATCCAGGTCACGTGGGATGCGTTCGGCGTGGTGAGTTTTGCAGCCCTTGTTTTTGGAATTCTCTACCTAACTCTGGTCCGCTTCTTCGCAAAACCTGTGGTATGGATTTCAATCCTACTGGTCTGGCTGGGCTTCATTGCTGCCGGTGTGCTAGCCTTGCTATATGCTTCGCAATGTTTGGATGCGGACCTCCTCCAATCTGCGGAGCAGACGGTGAATCTGCTGCAGAATGCCACCGGTTTAGGTACCTCTTCGTCACCCAGCAGCTGTGAGGAGTTGGGCGGCTACGTGGTTCAGAGTCTGGGCTGGATCCAAAGAAGGTGCATGACGATACTTCTTACCATGAAACCATACTATGCGCTTTCCATCCCGCTTGGGGTAACTTAATTTATTCGGTTCACCCTTAACTCTGAATCCTTAACCCCCAAGCCATAAACCCTAAACCCTGAACTCTAAACCTGAATCCTAACCCCTGAACCCTAAACCCTTAACTCTGAACCCTGAACCCCTAAGCCCTTAAGCCCACAACCCAGGAATGATGTACTCCGCACCACGTTGCAGGTGATTGGCTATATTTTCCTGGGCCTGGCGGCAGTTTGGCTGTTACTGGGTTGCAGTTAACCCAAAGGCTCCATGTAGATATATGGTATAGACTTTGGGCCCAAAGGGGTTTCCAGATATTACTTTAGGGCCCAAGTATATACCACATAGCTACCTGGAGCTTGTAAGTTAAGGTACCATAAGAATCATAGTCTAAACTCCCTAGGGGAGGTTAAATATGGGAGTATATTGTTGAGTATCATAGGTGTCATTAAGATACTAGGAGCTTCAGTTTTGTTACCACGAAATGGATTGCCGGTAAAGGGCTCACGGGGTTGTTTAGGGTTTATTCTAATGGAACACCTTAACATGGAGGTAGAGGTGTAGGCCAGGAATGATATGGTTTCCTCCTTAAGCTTCCCTAAGCCCTGAGGCCTAAACCCAACCCTAAAACCTAAACCCTAAGCAGCCACCTAGGTTGCTGGTTTTCTGCCTGCGATCTCGGATCAAGCTCGCCATTGCTGTAAATGAAGTCGCTGCAAAGTTCGTAACTCATCATCCGCACATGATTCTGGGCTGCTGTTAAGGAACTGAGGTTAAGTTACTATGCCGCAGTATTGGGAAACCGTAGTAATAAATAGATATATATATATATATGCCCATTATGGTAACTTGATTTAAGTTCCTTAACAGCAACCCAGGATTCTGGTCCCTCTCTTCCAGTTCTTGCTTGGACTGGCATGGCTGGTTATTTGGGTTGTCTGCGCTGCGCTCATCATTGCCGGGGTGCCTGCAGGCTACGTGCCAAATCAGGCCTTCGCTACGGAGGTGGAGGCAGCAGGGAATGCGACGACGCCGGGTGCTTGCACAGACATGGTGCCAGCAGGCTTTGCTTACCAGGACTAGGCACGAAACAGCTCATGCTATTCATAGGCCGTACCCTATAGTCTCATATACCTGCCAGTAAAGATAAGAAATGTGTTTCCTAATATGCCCACCTACTTGCCAGGATGTGGCCTCATGTGAGATGCTGGGTTGCTGTTAAGGAACTTAAATTAAGTTACCATAATGAGTATATATAGTAAATAATAAGATTTCCCCAATATAGTAACTTAATTTAAGCTCCTTAAATCCCTATATCCCCCCCCCAGTTTCCATTTCATTTTCCATGTTCTTTTCCATTTGATTCTCCATTATAGGCGGGGGATAATAACCCTAAACCCTAAACCCCTAAACCCTAAACCCCTAAACCCTAAACCCTAAATCCCTTAAATTAAGTTCCTTAACAGCAACCAAGGATGGGCAACGCAAGCTCTCTGCCTTTGTGCTGGCGCTGTGCTGAGCCTCGCTACGTGACTGGGTTGCTGTTAAGGAACCTTAAATTAAGTTACTATGTTGGGGTTTAGGGTTTAGGGGTTTAGGGTTTAGGGTTTAGGGTTATTATCCCCTATAATGGAGAATCAAATGGAAAAGAAAACGGAAAATGAAATGGAAGCTGGGGGAATATAGGGATTTAAGGAACTTGTGTTAAGTTACTATATTGGGGAAGCCCTGTTATTT